TAAAAAATGTTTGCTGTTATCTTCATGGATGCAATTTGGTAAGTTGTTTCAAATGGGCTTTTGACTTCAGGGATGTGCTGGGATTTTGTACAGACCTTTTAGGGTCACCCTGTATGTATGTCTTGAGCGGAATGTGCAATGAGTCACTCTGAACTCTGAGTAGTATCACATCTTGGAAATACAGACCTTTTAGGAACACCCTGTATGTATATCTCGAGCCTTGAATGTGGAATGAATCAGAGTGATAAGTATAGGTATAAAAGAACTACCTACATAATTATTATTAGGACGGTATTTTAAACCTCAATGACAAAAGTTCTGTTATGGTATGACGCCATCACTGACGTCACGCTCCAAAAGAACAATACAAAAAGAGATCTGCGAACCATTATCAAGGAAGTTTCGATAACGATTTGGCTATAATCCATTGGCAATTCATCTACGAAATCATTCACTACTGTTAATAATATATTAAAACTTACGCTCTCGTTCTGAGATGATCTTTTTTGTCGAGGCACACAAAACAACGTCACTGTCCTCCCTCTAACGTTTCGGGTAACAAAACTATGATCTCAAATTTAATTTCAAAGATATTTTCTAATTTAATTCAGAGTATTGATTTTAAACATGAAGGAATTTTCGTAAATTTCTTACAAAATGAAAAAAAATAAATAAAACTAAAATCACGACAATACAACACTCCCAGCAGTCACAGCTCCTGTCTCACTTTGACAATTTGACATTTGACTCATTTGAGTTTTTGAAATAATTTGAGGATTTGAGGTATGTCCAGTGTTGCCAGAAGAAAAAACTAATTATACTGAAAACACTATAGAATTGTACTAAAACCACGTGAATTGTACCAGACATGGAATTACTACATCATATTCATGATGTCCAGTGTTGCCAGAAGAAAAAACTGATCATACTGAACACACTATAGAATTGTACTAAAACCACGTGAATTGTACCAGACATGGAAATACTACATCATATTCATGAAAAAACATCAGGGAAATAAACGAATGGATAATATAAAAAAATATGGTACATATAATTGACAAAAACTAAAAATTATCTATGAATTCTTCGTTTTTGGCAATTATATGTATATTGTATCATCTATGGAAAGTGACTACATCAAATATATATTATATAAAAACATCCGTAAAAAAAATATGATGAAATGAAAAAAAAAGAACAAGAACAAGAAGATAAAATTCATTAGCCAATGCCAAAACATTTGATGGTTGGCTGATAGGATAGTAATCGTCATAGCAGCTTGGTCAGAGGTATGGTCATTGGTCAGGCCAATGAGGAAATGATAAGAGGAAAAACTGTCAGTCATTTATACTTTTGTTCATACTGCTGTTTATACTTTGTGTAATGAAAATTCAATTATGTTGAATGAACTGATCAAAACATGAAATTTTACCAATATTGGGTAAAATTAATGTACTGAAGGGTAGACATTATTGTACTGAATCTATACAAATGTATCAGCTCCGGCAACACTGGGTATGAGTATGAGTGATTCTGTCATTCCTTAAATACAAGATTCCATATCTACCGTATGCTCGTTCCGACGTGTTCCGACCACTTTGTTGACTTATTGAACAATCAGAACGATTCTGGAATCAATGATAAATTCCGAAGAGGACAAATTCAAATCGCTATCCATGAAAAACAGGAAACATTTTTTTTATTAGCAGTTTGATAGAGGTGGAAAGTAATCTAGGCTTGTTCGTTTGTGTATGGTCTATCTCACTATCTGCTAAACATGATGTTTTTCTATCACTATTTCTGTTCACATCGTGCGATGGAATGAGTTGAAAAAAAATCTACTTTAGCAGGTTTAGCTGTTTAGCAATACAAACGAACAGACCTTTCGAGACGAACTTATGGACTTGTTCGTTTGTATTGCTGAACTCTCTGAAGTTGTTTTTTTTTTCATACTTGTCTCTATTCATGGCATGATGTAAACTGAGAAAGTCATTGAACTCAGAGGAAAAAATCAAGTTCAGCGGGTGGTGCAAGCACAAACGAACAGGCCTGATATGTCATTTCGTCCTAAAGTTCCCATCCAGTTTCCAGTCGCAGTTAATTTTATTTACACGAATGCATTCTGCGATCAAGGTCTATTAACTTCTATAAGGTTACCTCATAGTATAGCATTATGGTGCGGGGGTGCGCGGAGGGGCGTGACGTCAGTGTTTCCCCACCACGTGATTGTTGATTTGGTTTGTGTCACTGTCAAATGAATTGAAAAAAATTTTGAATTTGAATTCGAAAGAATCGCGAATTTTAGACTTTAGTTGAAAACAGGGTGACAAGAAGACTGAAGATATCTTTGAAAGAGTGTGAGAGGTTGTATAATAATATGGTGTAGTATTATTCAAGGCTGGTCAAGTGGTCACAACATAAATATCATAATATTATTGTGTGGAGTCAAGAGTGGATATAGAACAAACAAATGTTATGAAATGCCTGTTTGGCAGCCTCCACATGAGATTCAGATAATTCCAAAGGAAAATGATGAGCTGTGGCAATGTGAATGTCCCTGTGAAGCAGGCATGTCATGGTTTTGTATACACATTTTATAGGGACTTATATTGACAGGTAGGAAGGTGCACTTTTGATCTATCACACACACAGGTAAAAAATACATGAAATTTCAGGAATGAAGACTTGGAATATGTGAAGCTGCATATATAACAAACAGAAGTGGTGAAAATTGAAAAAAGAGAGTAGATCAATCAATGATCTATTATTATACAGCCAAACCATTTCAATAGTTCTGCTACCTGCTTATTAAAAGAAGGAAAGTGACCCCCTAAAATCATTCTTCCTTTATATAATTGAAGTTAATTTTACAGGGTATATCAGTCTATTTTGTTTTTTGTTTGGAAGCCAATGAACTCAATGTGAACAACTAGCTATTGCATGGTACTCAGGAACACTGGTGAGTTTATTAAATTTTACTTATACTTGCTACTTCATTTTTACATGTAGCAAGGAGTCTTGGGAAAAAAGGCAATCAACTTCTTCTTTCCAAAGGATTTTTCAAATAAATTTGTTCAGCATGGAGTTGAATATGAATCCAAAGCTCTTTCAAAATGTTCATTGAAAATGATATTGAATTTCAAATCATGCAAACTAATTTGTGTCCCAATATTTTCCATGGTTAGGATTTTCTCAATATGAAATTATTTTTCAGGAAGGAAGACCATGGAAATAATTGAAATAAGTGTCCTTACTGAGGTCCTTACATAGAGGTTTGTTAAATAATGTGTATTACATTCAGCTTGAATTATTTTCTCAAAATTTTAGGTAAAGGTTCAGAACATTTTGTGGAACAATGCCATTTCTTGATAGGAGATGGTATAAAAAATGTGAAGTTGGAAGAGAGACACACTTATTATGGATAAATTCAGTTGGGAATAATGGCCCTAAAATGTCCCTAATGAACTTGAAAGAAACTAATTTTCTTGTATGATTCTTCTTTCTCCAAAACTTACATATAGATTCCAGTTTTTTTATGATACATTTTGTGTTAATGTTATGAGGAAGATATCTCAAAGATATTTCCATTATGTTGCACTTTTATTGCATTAATAAAATGGAATGAATTGTGATGACTTCTTTATTAATTCATTTTCTTATTATTGCATTTTCAAACAATAATATGTTCCAAATTGATACTGAAATAAAACCAGTGAGTTAGAATCATTCAATTTATCCAGAAGGAAATCCTCTTTAGTTAATTGTTTCTTGTTTCTCAGAAATGATGGCCTAATCAATTTCAAGATATTTCTTCACATCCCTTGTCAGCATGCCCTTATCCACCATGATTTCATCATTAGGTTCAGACTTCCCAATAACATTTTCTTAAATATCAAAAAATGCTTTATCAGTAGTTCAACCTCCATATCCTTATTAATGCCAACAGTAATCAGTCCTAATGGAGTGGTATTGCAATAAGAATTTGACTGGGTTTCTGTAATGTGTCTGTACAACAGGAGCACTGAGGAACATATCTTTCTAGATTTCTGTCTTCAGTCTTTTGTACTTGCTGCATGTTTTGGGAAAACAGTGAACAATCTCTTGGACACAAAAACATATTGGAAAACTTCAAAATTTATCAATATTCACTTGATTGCACAATGCTAAATTTGTTTGTTTTGTTTTTCACCTCCGCCATTTTCATTTTGCCGTTCGACAAAAGACGGTGGGGAAACAGTGACGTCAGGGCAGAACAAACCACTATTTATCGAGATATTTCAAAAAAAAGTTCGAAATTTCGACTCCTTCTTCCCCTTGCGTTGGATGCATTTTCAGGTACTTGCTCTTCTTATTTTGTCATTGGACACTTTATATACTCATGATGTACTTCAATGACACATTTTTATACAGAAAATTCAACAGGAAATATGATTTTTATGGTGAGTTTTTCCTATTTAGTGAGCAAGAGCATACCAGATGACGGCCATTTTATCCATAGGCAATCCAAATACGAGATGTCAAATGTCAATAGATTGCTTTGGAATGACATTACACACGCCATTATTTCAAATGATATTCTTCCTTCTTTTCAATAAATATGGATAAATCACAAGAAAATCATATTTCTAGTTGACTCAATGATAGAAAAAAATGTGTCTTACATTGTGATATATATAAATTGTCCAATGATGAAAAAAGAAGGGTGAATTGTTTAAAATTCAATCCAGAAGACAGGCGGAAAAGAAGGTGAAATTTGAAACTTTATAGTGAAATATCTTGATAAATAATGGTTTGTTCACATTTTCATTATCAAATTCGTGTTTTTCAGACAAAAATACGTAAGTACCAAAAAAAATTTTCGGAAAAAAACCCATCGCATGCTAAATGCAGTTTTACCCCCTATAACCCCTTTGTCAAGGCCCCTTTGTAGGGTTATAGTTCAGTGCGGGCGTGATTCTTTTAATTGAGATGTTTTATAATGAATTATAAACATCTCACTTTTAATGCTACTTTGCTACTACTGACAGTTATGACATTTATGACAGATACATGATTTCAGTCGTTCGTGAATTTTTGATTTCTGTGAACGACACTGTTCTTTTTCTTTTGTGGTCTGTGTTTCTGACAACTCGGTATGTTACCAAAAATATTTTTGCAATCATCCTTTAATTGTAAATTACAATTGAAAATTCATTGAGGAGATTCAATAAATGCAACGATTCCATATACAGCTTCACCAATATTTTTGTCATTTCTTCAGGCATTATACACACATTATGTTCTTTGACTTTTTGTGAGGTTATGAGCACTGTTATTTTAATTCTTTCTCCACAAAAGTCCTCTATTTATGTTTATTCTAATTGAAAAATTTCTTATTTCAGGCTGCTGCTACGATGAAACAAATCGTGACAAACCAAACGGTTAAAATTCCCGAGGGAATAACCGTCAATGCAAAATCTCGTTTGATTACTGTGAAAGGGCCCAGAGGCACCCTAAAACGATCCTTCAAACATTTAGCTCTGGACATTCGCATGGTTAGCCCAAGACTGTTGAAAGTGGAGAAATGGTTTGGAACCAAAAAAGAATTGGCTGCTGTCAGGACTGTTTGCTCTCATGTGGAAAACATGTTGAAGGGTGTTACCAAAGGGTACCTGTACAGAATGAGGGCTGTGTATGCCCATTTCCCCATCAACTGTGTTACCACTGAAAACAACACTGTTATTGAAATCAGGAATTTCTTAGGAGAGAAATACATTAGGAGGTTAGTAGTATTGCCTTATTTACTGGTAATCATTATTGTGTACAAGTGATTCCATCATTTCCTGAATTCTAATTATTTTTTTTAGGGTGAAGATGGCACCTGGTGTGACTGTCATAAACTCCACAAAACAGAAAGATGAGCTAGTTATTGAGGGAAACTCTTTGGAAGATGTTTCCAGGTCTGCAGCACTCATTCAACAGTCCACCACAGTGAAAAACAAAGATATTCGTAAATTCTTGGATGGGTTATATGTATCTGAAAAGACAACTGTTGTGCAAGATGAATAACTCATAGAATAAATGAAGAATATATTTTAATGTTTTCATTAGCTATATTTGTTTGCTCCTTTAATTACAATAGATATTCTTGGATTCCAGATGAACAGCTATCTACAAGAAGTTGAGGTAAGTCAGTAAAATGTTAATAGGTCCTCAAATTGGATCACTATTATATTTAACTATCTAGAACTTCCCAATTCAAAATACATTATTAATATTTTAGGTATCAGGATTGCAATTTCTCCATACAATATTTGAAGTTCCTTTGATTTTTCAATGAAGTTCTTATGTGTTTTTCAATTTGAACAGTGTCTGTTGGGAGCATATACAATGCTTTACTTTTGATTTTTTTTTCAGATGACTAAATAATATCTTGTCAGGAATTGAATTCTTTCATGCAATTACTAAGGTTTTTCTACATTTTACAATATTACTATATGCCCTCTTATTGAAACTTGGTATCTTTGTTCAGTAGTTATAGGACACCCTTGTATAATGTTTTATTTTTGAGTTTCCTTCATTTTGTTCGAAACCAAAAATGAAATTTCTGTACAGAATACTTGAAAAAATGTCTTTCAATTTTTCAGTTCTATGTGTACCCATTGATGTACTCAATCACTAGGTATTTATTTTATAAAACTGAGTTGACTTTATTTGGGTTATAGACCAGTTATAGGTATAGGTTACCCTCATACCTGCAGTTTTTCTGATATTTAACAAAGAATACTCATAGGAATCCTTATCACTATTTATACAAACAAAAAAAATGCAGCTTTAAAATTGCTGGTTCAGTAAATAAAGACAAATGAAATATGAATTGAAAGAACTTATTTGAAATTTGAACATGAAATATGTAGAGGGAGATGTAGAATTGTTTACCTTTCTCAGCATGTCTTAAGAGGAGGGTTTCACTAAAATGGTTTAGCAGACCCTTTTTCAATTGACCTTTCTGGCCTTGTCATGAATTCAATCTCAAAACTAATTGAATTATCGTAAAGAGGAAGGTTCAAATTAGGGAATCAGTATTTTTCGGAGTCAAAACTCGTCCATTGAAAAAAGTTAGGGGTCTTTGAAAAATGTAAACATTGTAAATTTTTGTGTCTCAGATTTTAATAAAATTACCTCATTGTATGGAACCAAAATTTAGGAATGCGTTACCAAAATATCAGCTCCTGGAATGTCTCCATTCGAACAAAAACCTGAAATTTGACACAAGGACGCCATTTTTCGATTATTAGGTTTGGTTTCGTTGCAATATCCTTCGAAGATAAAGTAGGAAACATGAATTTGGTAGTTCGGACCGGTTCGGACCCTACCTAATAGATGGCGGTACACACTCATCTTGCTGTAATTCTGTAATCTTGCAACTTCGGCACTGCTAACTGAAATTTCATGAGATGTTGTATTCACATAAAACCAACAGATGGCGATCGCGTCGTTCCGCGTTTTTTATATGATATTACCTACGTTTGAGCCTAAAAGGAAATTTTAAAATTTTTCGTATTTGAAATAAATTCAAATGGAAACCGAAACGCTTTGTTTGGTCCGTAGAATCGTGACCTCAGAACTCATTATATTTGTGACATTGTTTACATTTGAGTCAAGTTTCAAGTTGGACTATTATTGTTGGAATTCATCAAAAATGATAATCGCTTCAACGCAGGTGAATTCCAGAATGTGAAAGCAATAAAGTAAGTAAACACTTGGATTTCGATATTGAAAGTACCCCGAGTATGTTTTTTTTTAGTATGAAAAGGCGTTTTCAGATATCTCATTTAGAGGTTATGTTTTTGTTTGGTGGAATTGAAATCATAGGTATCTTTGGAAAAAAATATTTCATTAATTTCTCATCTTATAGGAATACTCGTGAGCAGTGACGGCTCGTCAGGGACGGCAGGGTCGGCCGGGCCGTACCAAATAATTTGGGGAAAATTACTGAACTATTTGATGAATAAAATTATTTTCCGAAACTGTTTTCATAATTCATCGCTCATTATCCTACTGTTATGCCACTATTATTTGAATTTCATTCATGGAACCTTTGAGTATGCCATCCGCATATACACCGAAAATCACGAACTAATTCAGGACCTACGACATCTGGTAATCCCATCGTCAAAACGCCGCTTTCAGTTGAACCGCTCGCGTAGCTCATTACACTGATGCAGACGGCCGGCCGATCGGTGATTTCTTGTCTCGACGCATCGCCACAGGCACAATGCACAGGCATCGCCTACAGATTCCCCGCTTCAAGTTTAAATTTTCGCTTATACGCGTCATACCTTGGGTGCGGCCAAGCTCTGCTGGCCGTCCAACGTATCGATCGTACTTATCTTATCAGTATCAGTTGTTTGCAGTGCGCTCGCTGTGCACCGTATCGAACCATTCCGACCTAATTTTTAATATACGGATTGGCATGATTGACATTCTATTTTCATTTTACATTGTAGGTATTTATAATTTTAATTCCTATACTTATTTGTAAGTTGATGTTGGAATTTGAAATGTACAAACTGAAAAGACAAATAATTTCCATGTTTTTGTTTACGCTTGCAGTAGTTGCAGTAAAAATGACTGGTGATTTTTGAATTTGCAATTTTTCAGTAATTCATAATTCAACATATCCATCTAATATTGGTATCAGAATTTTCCTTCAGTGCTTCTGAGCGTCAATAAGTTATAATTCAATTTGAATATCGCAGTAATGTAACCTACTGTGCCTCTGCCTATGTAGGTAATATGGCAAAATGGCAAGAAAAATGTCAGCAGTCCAAGAGCTGAGTAGGTATTGAAACATCGTAAAAAAGCTCTGGTGACGGAAATGTAATAAATGTATAACTTCCAGAATATCATTTATTTTTGAATTTTGACAAAAAATCATAATTTCTGACTCCGAAAACACCAAGATACCGAATAGAATGGGCCCATTACCAAAAAAACTCTTCCGCCATTTTTCAGCCGCCATGTTGAATTTTTGAATTTTGACAAAACATCATAATCTCCGACCCCGAAAACCCACAAATACAAATTTTGAATAGAATCGTACCATAATCACAAAACTATTCCGCCATGTTGAATTTTTTTATATTGACAGAAAATCATAATCTCCGAATCCGAAAAGCCTATATAGATACGTAGATACCTACAAATTTTTGATAGAATCGGACCATAATCACAATAAACTCGTCCGCCATTTTGGAGCCGTCATGTTGAATTTTCTAATTTTGACAAGAGAATCATAATCTCTGACTCCGTAAACCACCAGATACCAATTTTGAATACAATCGGTCCATAATCACAAAACTCGTACCTACACTATTTTGCCACCATTTTGATTTTTTCCATTTTTGACAAAAGAATCATGATCTCCGACCCCGAAAACCCCCAGATACCTACTAATTTTTAATCGAATCAGATCATAAGCACAAAACCAGTCCGCCATGGAGCCGCCATCTTGAATTTTTCAATTTTGACAAGAGAATCATAATCTCCGACCCCGAAAACCTAATTATTTCATAATGCATTGTCACCAAAATCATGTCCACCTGCCAAGTTTTTAATCAATCGGACGATCAGAAAGTGCGTCAAATTTAACTTGCAAGATTTGATGATGCTTGTAAAAAAAGACCACATGTAACATTTTTGCTTTGAATGAAATGCTTGATATTGATATCACTTGATACCTATTGAGTTTCCAACTATTCTCGTAGATAACAATTCAGTGCGAAATTCCCGCGTTCTGCCAAAGCCCTCATGATTTATCTCTGACAATGATAATCGTGACGGCTCGGTTCTGGTTCTACCATCCCCTACTCTTTGGTTCTACGCTTCGCGATGTAAACATAAACATAGTAAACAAAGTCAGGTCATCAGCCATTATCTGGATCGAGATCGAGACCTATAAATACTACATATTTTGCGCGGACGGTAAGAGCAAGCACACATCCAGAATTTCACTCCATATTTGAACCCAAGAATATAAACTATATTCATATTTGAACCCAAGAATATAAACTGTGTTATTTTTATATTCTATGATTGATCGATCAATTCTATTCCGATTCGATGCTAGTATTCCGACACCTATGGAGGACTTGCCCGAACTGACTAGAAAGAAGGAAACTACGAATACGTACTAGGGGTATATCGTGGCGCACGACCGTCTTGAAAATTCTCATATTTTAGTGCAAACGGCCATCTCACCGCCATCTAGACAAAAGTTTCAGAAGTAGGCAGTGAAACGGCGATCTTAAGCCGTTGATTGATATATTACGCTTACGCTGGGAAGATGCCCAACCTTATGGGGCAAAACGAGGTCCAAAAAAATCTCACAACTAGATGGCGTACCATAGTTCGAAATCTCACATAGTGGCGGCGATAGTGTCGAACGATGTCGGAGCAATACTTCGTAATTTGACGGGCAGGTGCGCCACTTACGAAGAGAATCTATTGGAATGCAGATGGCGTGCGACTTGGAACAATTAAACAATCCACAATCCGGAACGCTTGTATCGAATCCATGATCAATCAGTTCGATTCTAACTAATATGGCGGTAAATTCGAATTTGTTAGTAATAGCACAGATTAACGTAATAGTTGTACTGGATGTGCTTCTAACGAGCGCATCACGGACGTGAGATCATGAAAAAAGTTTATAGAAATCGAATTGGAGCGAATCACAAAATTTAATGTCTCAACAATAAATGCTTGAATGCTTCCATTTTTGGCGATTGTGGAATAAACTGGTCAGCAGATATCAATATATAAGCTGCTCATAAATTTGATTGAAATTCACGAACCCGGACCAGTGTTGTCACCTTAGTGTATTTTACCCTAGAACTGAATCTAAATGGGTCTGTTTGAGTGGAATTTCATATTTCATTATGTCAAATTACTAAATCATACTATTCACTGTCGCAAATCATTTTCTTGTCAGAGCGCTATGTACAATTTTTGAAATTTTTATTATTGAAATTACTGATATTTATCACATGAAAAACGCGAAACCTTGCGTGACAATTCTATACCGCTATCAATCCAAAGTATTTTATACTGGTATATGATCCGACCTATGTATTGCCAAAACTTGGAGTGCCAATAATTTCCTTTGACTTTTGTGGGGCGGCCGACAAACGCACCGTTACAGAGATATCCTTTGTCGGGACAGAGTACATACTAGGGACGTCCCAGGGACATCAGCTGGCTGACAAAAAAAGCATCCAAGGGATTTCCGTCTGGTACGTCCCTGGGATGTACCAAGAGCGAAGAAATGATATCACTAGGAGGTAGCAAGGATATTCCAGGGACATCCCTTCGACAAAAGAAAAAAATGTAGGTCGAGTAGGGTTTGAACCCGGGACCTTTAGCTTATCAGGCACGCACCTTACTCCATTGGCTGATATGCCTTCTGGAGATTTATGTGCCAAACAGATTTTTAAACAGGACTAAACTGCAGAAACCTGAATAAATACAACTTTGTTAGGATTTGGGTATAATTATTATTATCATTCGTGGATGTTTAAAAATGAGGGGCATTATATGCATTTACGTTTTCTGTTTGCGAAAAATGGTCATTTCTTGAGAAGTTCTGAGACAATTTTTTTTATTTTCATTACAATTATTTACCGGAAAAAACCAAACATTTTCATAAAAATTCAACTCAATATTTTGATGAAAGTCAATGACTCTGATGTGAATAGATATCAGATATTCCAGGGACACGAATAGGATAAAACCTATGGATGTACCGGGCCGGATGTCCACTGGACAACCACTGCGGGACATCCCCTGGATACCCCAATTATGTCCTTGTACCGTGTGACAAAAAGGGTACGTACCTAGAACATATATTCCTGTGTTGTTAGGGCGGAGATTCTGAGCGTTCCGTAGTCTGTACTCCGTTGTTCTGGAGCGGCAAAATCGATTCTACTCAGAAAAAGTTACTGGTATATCACAAAATATCAACGCCGATTTCATGATTATATATCGTGGCATATAGACTGGAAATGTAGCTGTTTTCTGTTGATTTTGTTTTTATCTCCTCAAATAATATACCAAAAAAGAATTCATATTTTTTTCAACAACTAGATACTGTAAAAAATGGTTCATAAGCTTGCAGCTTCAACTCTTGTAATCCAATAAATAAATGAATTCTATATATGTTCCAATAGTTATGACTCACTCTGTATATTATGCCTATTATAGATGATGTATTTTATTTCATTTTTATAGTGAACCATTAACAATCGAAGATTCAAAGATATCTGACTATTTATTTTCTATCTACTGATGAGACTCTAAGAAATTATCACATTCAGATTGATTATATTATCAATATTTTGTATACAAAACTTCAATATGGATACAAATTGAGTGAAGAAAATAATCAACGAAAAAGGCGTGAGATGTTTTTCCAGATATACATATATATTGGTCTAGGCAAAGTATGACAAGTTATTCACAAAGGAATTTAAAAAAACGCCACGGAGTAGGAACCCAACTGAGTGAGAGATCATAATATGTTCTTCTCTCTTCCGCAAGGCACCGAGGGAAAAATCAATACTCGCAACCCGTTGTTATTGTTGCGGATTGTGGATTCCCCATATACGTCCATGGGATTCACCGACCGTAGCAAACATTTTTTATCGGAACCGGTCGGGCGGGTCGGGTCTCATCGTAGAAGACAAGGATAAACAAAAATTTCTGGAGCGATAGCACGCGGTGGGATGGGATCTGTAATTCTGTAGAAAAGTGTAGTAATCTGTACAATTAGTTCAGACATGTTCTGTGTGCCTAGTGGAGTCGCTACCTCACAGTGGCTAAACGATAGACGAGGGGATGAGCGGGGCATCGACTCGCAAATAACACAGGTTGGGCATCTTCCCAGCGTAAGCGTAATATATCAATCAACGCTTAAGCCTAAGTTCAGTGTTGCCACAACCCAGTGAAAATTTTTGTGTGCAGTGTTGCCAATTATCCATTATCAAGATGAATATCAATACTCTCATATTCATCATGTTAATATGACATTATGGATTAATCATCTCCTTTGTACTTGCCATACTAATACTTTTGATAAAGACCCTACTAGAGGATAAAATTATAAAATCAACAAATTACACTGGGATGGAAAGCTGCCGCTCAGTGAACATGAAGCAAATTACATTTCAGAAATGAGGTAATATTTGCATAGATAGTGCTTGGTGCTTCATTTGACTTTTATTGTAATGTAGCTTTGCTTTTAATTGCCAGGAGGGGTCAGCACTGATTGAATAAAATATTATAATTCTAATTCATTTGTTGAATTGGTTTGGTCCAGTAAGCAGTGCCGGTTTAAGGGGATTTGCCGCCTGGTGATATGACGTGCCGCCCTTCAGAATCAAAAATTTTCCTAATCTTCAAGGTCTTTGGATTTCTTCCCATGACGCATTTTTGAGGTGATAATAAATTCTATAGGCACGTTGGACGTTTTCTGGGATGGGAGTAAAACGGCAAACTCGCGTCCCGGGTGCCGCGTACCATAAGACCGGCATTATCATATGAGCAGTGTAACTATACCATAGAAGACTTGATGAGCATAATGAAAAACAGGATTTTATGGAATAAAATTAAAAACATAATTCTTTAGTGTTCACATAATGAGTAACAAGAAAAATGAATAGGTATATGTTGGAATAAAAAAGGAGAATCAAATGATACTAAGCAAGTACATAATTAGGAACATAAAGTAACAATACAAGAATGTGTTTTCTAGCTTCAATGCAAGCCTTTATGTATGATTCTCTTCACAAGCTCTATAACTTTGTTTCATTTAGTGGATCTTGTTTGAATTTAGACAAAATTGTTAGCTCAAAAATTTCGAAAACAAATATTCATATTGGGAAAAGAAGATATATCATATTATTCTCGTGTAGAACTTGGACTAACTCCATAATATAGTGTAGCAATCTACCATGGTCAAAGTTATTCCTTCAATTAAATGACCAAAGGTGTCGCCGTGATTCACTTTTACATCAAATTCAACAATGTGTGTCGCCGTATAGTTTTTTGCGCTGTTCAGACTTTTTGTAAAATTTCCTTCGAAGCTTCTATCTGCGTTCGGTCAGTAAAAGATAAAGCTAACAGCCTTGTGGTTTTGAGAGTGATCATGGATGATATACCATCTAGGAGATATTCGTTTGCCTGGTGTTAGGTAAGTGATCTTGCCAGGAATTTGACTTTGTAAATATAATTATCATCCTGAACAATTTGAGTAATTATGATTCATTCTTTTAGTTTGTTCGATACTCGACTTTGTTAGTTGTTAGCCATCCGTTAATTATAAAAGAATTATACCCAGATCAAGATTTGAGTCTGATTTACTATATATCTGCGAGAACCATAAAATCACCCTGTTACAATAGGAGTTTCTCCTTTAGTCTCTATAGGGGAGGAAACTTTTTTTTTTTTTTTCAGATGATTAACATTCGTCAGAAACAAATTTGTCCAGACCTCTGAATACTTTTTTTGTAGTTTAGTTGCCAATTTGATCAAATTTCCATCCTCTGCTGACACTATCTTGACCAGTAAGTCAAATGATTCTGAACAAGATTTGTAGGTGGAAGTCCAACCTTTTGCCGTATTTTTTCTCCTAATTGTGCTTTTCTTGGGATGATTCACTTCTTAACATAAATTTCAGTTTAGGAAGTGTAGTGATCAAATCTTTCGCGTAAAAAATCAAAATATCCAGATAATGACTGATGACAATAAAATATGTGAAGTTGTATTTTCATATAGCCGCCCTGAAGATTTTGCCGCCTGGTGCTATAGCACCCAATAAAAGACCCCTGGAAAAACCGGCACTGCCAGTAAGAAGAAAACCTGCAAAGAAGTTGGAAAAATTCAAATACCTAGATTGAAAAAATATGTTACAATTATTGATTATATTTTACACATCTTTCAACATATTTTATGGAAAAATTATGGTACAATTCCATAAATATGTCACAATAAGTGGCAACACTCTTTAAGTTAGCATCGAACGTTGACCAATATTATTGTATGTATAAGTATGAAATAGTTTTTTGTTTTCATGAAATAAAGCTAATGAATTGATAATTGATTTGAAACAACTATATAATCTTAATCAATATGTCACTATAAATATACAGATATTTCGCTCTCAATTAACTCATAGTATTTATATACCTGCCTATATGTACCTACTGTGGTTTAATTGCTATTTTATGCTATAATTTATTTGTGATTGTTATGTGGAATTTGACTAAGAAAACAATCTTCCCCAGTTCATTTTTCAACCTCGGATACAAATTTAATAGTATCTAATACTCTACTTTTCATCAATTCTCTATTTAAGTTGATTACATCCCGAACACATTGACAATCTGACAACTCTATATAATCCGTAATTATAATGTTTGCACCTCCATCTCCAGGTGACTGTCTACTTATCCATTCCAATCGATCATTGTCAAAATCAACAGCACATTTTTCTTTCAGGTTACCTAAAACAAAATCAGGTAGATAAGGGAACATTAGCAGTTAAGATTTTTTAGGGATTTTCTATTATTTTTTCCATCAATGAAAACATGATTATCATTTCAAAATAAGTGCGGCAAGGACAAATCAGATGGTTTGCCCTGAAATAACACTATTTCAAAGCCTTAAGAGAGATATTTAATCAAATATATATATAGTCAGTATATAACACATTGTTTTGGAAAATGTTTGAAGAAGAGAAATATTGTTTTTTCTGTGACGAGAAAAATGTTTGGCATTTCATTTCTGTTGGCAGGTTATAAAATGTCACTTTTATTACTTTTTTCCCGGATATATATCACATATATATACACTGTACATGGCTTTTTTTGTGCTATAGTTCCGAAAAATAAGTCAATAATACCGTCTCCGAGAAAGAACTGCAAGTCCTTTTGTCTTCCATTCGACTTCGCGGTTAGGTATATTTCTAAACAACCACTAAATTCGCAATTTTTTGAAATCAAATCACAGAATTAGACTGACAGAAGTGACATCAGATATTTGATTACTTCAAAAGAATGATAAAGATCCCTACAACGCAGGTGTCCCTACTGTTAAAATCTTAAAATTTCACGTCGATAATTTTCAGATTTCAAAATAACCTAATATCTTCTCAATATTGATTCGTCCCTTCTTCTGTCATAGAAAAAAAAATAGTGTATTATAACGGGAAAAATATTTGATTTTAGCTCACGGCTTTTTGCAACTTTTTTCCCTTGTATAATAAATAACTATATTATTATTTTACAATAATTTATATAGTTTGTTTTTGTTTCAATAAAAGCACACAGCACTGTTCGAAAGGAATTTACTACCATCAAGGGTGAAAAAAAATCTTGAGAATTGGTCTTTGATGAACCTACAAACATAAATAATAAACGTTTCTGTATATGATACACCCCAGTGGCGTAATTAAGGTGGGTCCATGGGGGTCTGGACCCCCCCTCCTCCCAGAATTGTCTGGAAAACCGAAACAATCTGGTGATCAATTCTATTGATAATGATAATGGAAAAATAGAAATGAGTACAGGAAATATCACGAGAATTCAATTTGTAATTTGTTATAGAACCTCCGAAGGAATGAATTTCTAAAGATGCACTATCCAGAAGCCCTAGGAAACTTGAATTCCTATAATTAGATAATATATTATGCATTCATTTTCCCCCTACTACCTTAATATTTCTACAATGTATACCTTTTCAATTTTCATAGTACCTTAATTTTTATTTTCAGTAACTGAATTAGTAGAATTTTTTATTTTCGTTATTTCGTTTTTTTTTTGTTCCTGCTTCAATGTTCGTACCTGTTATAGATATCATTCGATTTAGTTTTCAATACTTTTTTCTTTATTTTGTTATTGTTACCAAATGATGCATACATTCATAAACACGAACGTCAATTACGTATTGCTTTTCATTTTCCTAAATATTGGATATTGAACCTAGACCTCCTCCAGGAATGAATTTTCATCTCGCCGATATACACACAAACTGAATCAATAATATAACTAGGTAATTGATAAAATGACAGCTTCTTGGTGGAATCAGTTATTTTAGGCATTTTTAGGTTACAATTTACTATTCCTAACTCCTGGCTTATAGATTGGAAGTATTGGAAGTTAGACGTTTTCCCATAGTTTTCATGTCATCGCAACGTCAGATGATGATCTTGACTCCACCATGACTACCGCAAATCAGTGCCGTCAAGCTACTTTATAATTTTCATTTTTTCAGCATAAAAAAACATTCACATTATATTTTAGATTTGGAGTGAGACTGAGTTTTTCTCTTTTTCAAATCGAAAGTTTCTTCTTATTATTCTTTTCCTGCCCATACTTACTGAACAAATGTTTGAGAATGAACCATGCACTGGGTGTCAAAATACACTGGGAGATGTAGGCAAAATTGGGCGATCTTTTCTCTAGGCCATTGTCCAAGGCTTGGAACAACTCGACCGCAGAAATCTTATTGGGCCATGGTGTTGGGAATGAAGCCGATGGCCATAGTAAACTTTGATTGAATCTGGCAGCATCTGACCTATAGATGCATATCACCTACACACAAAACAAAAAAAAACGACCGTTATAAATCGTGTTCAATAGTAGATTATACCACGAGTCAATAATGATGGCTGTTATTCTAAAGGAATATTTACGCTGCCTTAGAATAATAGCTATTATTGCGAGAAGTGTACTACAGGGTGCCCGTTTTTCGAGCTCCACCATCGGGATCTCAGTTATAAGAGGTACGAGGTCGGTTCCCAGGTAACAAGCTGACTTCATTTGTACGTCATTATATCACGTCAGGATGACTTCCAAAATGACGTTTATATGACCTTCTACGAATGACGTCATTTTCATGTTGTCATAATGACGCCATTAGAAAGAAAGGATATTGAATATGAAATTTGGATTGTGTAACCCATTTTTTCTCCAAATGACATAGAAAGTGACTTTTTATAATGACACTTGACCGGCACGAAAGTTGTACTTTCTCTGCGTAGACAGGAAAAGTTTGTTGCTATGCAAAATTCCAAGTTATACCTAACTCAAATCAAATTGGTTATTAAAATTGGCCATGATTTTGGGTGAACACGAAATGATGGAGTATTTGGAGTTTGTGTGAAATTGGATGAATTTGGAACAAAATGTACCTATGTGTTTCACACGGTAGAAAAGCAGATTTAATGCTTCGGCTGAATCCCCCATGAACTATATGAGTCGCGGCATTAAATCTTGTGCTTTATTGCCTAGTGAAACTAATAACAATTATACTCCTGCTAAAATTCGATTAATCTCGTGGTTTTGACAAAATCTGAATTTTGTTAATTATTAACAGATTTCATAAAAAATGTTCACGATTGCAAAGATTAATACGAAGAAAACAATCCAATTGTGTTATCAGCTATTTGTTGTTGTTTATTTTTCGTCATGAGTAAGCCAGATCCGTCTAGCTCCTAGTCTGAACTGGTTTTTATTTGTTTCTGATGATTTTTTTTTGTTTGCTCGTTAGTTTAGTCATACTTTCCCTTACTCTATACTGTACCATTTGAAATTATTGAATTATCTGTAGTGTACTTCAAGTAAATAAATAAATAAATAAACCTTGTACTGAGGTGAGGTTGCTTGTATACATTTCTGTTGTTGATTTTTTTACCACCGACACTCTTACGATAATATTTCAAAAAATCAAAACTCTTTTTTTTTTGTAAAAACAATATGGTATTGACAATAATATTCGAATGATTCTAGGAGCAGCATGCTATGATGCAGAAGCTAAAAATATGGCGTGAAAACAGCAACATATAGCATAGCTATTATTAGTTTCTGACTTGTTAATAATGAACACAGGGATATTTTCTGTGATAGGACAAGTTGAAATATAATTTACCTGATAATGATTTCTGGTCGTTAAATATTCTAAGGTCATGAAATCCATACTATCTGAATAAGGCAGTAATTTGGTGGAGAATTGTTCCTTCAGCATTTCCATCAGTCTTTCATGGTCTTCTTGCTGCAGTCCGTAAAAATGTTGACAGTCCAGAATCACTATCTACAAAAAAATATCTACTCCATTGTTATTATCAAAACTCCATTATACTTGACATAGTCTATTGAAATATCGTCGCGATCTTTATCTAATAGGATATACTTTGTCTTGATCTGCAATCAATTACAAAAATATGCCTCAAATGATGATAACATTGTTTGAAATCTCACGATTCAAAGAGTGTTGAATATTTTAACTTGCTAGGGTGGCTAGCATGACGGGAAACCGATTATAATATCGGAACTTGACAATATGATCTTCAAATCTTGCGCATATGTTTTGACATGTTTGTCCAAAGTAATACATATTAGTCGAAAAGAGGAAATATATCTGGTTTGGTTGACCGCAAAAACTAAACTAGTTTCAGTTAACCCACTACATCACTTGACAAAGTTGATAGAGGTTACCTCTCCGGGATGGCTGTCCAGAAATTGTCCAATTTCGTCCAACACTGAACGAACAGAATCCGAATAGAGTCCGTGGACGATATACAATTCTTCTGTGCCCTTTTTTGTGCCTATCCTCAGATCGAAATACCGAATTCCTCTGTTCAACTGTTCGGCAGCCATGTATGTTTGAGTGCGTGACCAGTTGGCCATGAAGTACTTTATGAGGGGTCCGAGGAATTCGAATTTTTTTAGAACGTCATCGGCATCCGGGGCGATATCAGAAGAAGATGTAATGCTCGCTGTGAAACTGTCATGTGAACCTGAGAAAAATATCAGCAAGAAAACGTGATGAAACTGTAAGACTATAATATTTTTCTACCGCTATAATAACACATATTGTGTTATTTAAAAAAAAACTCATCGCCCATGGAATGTCAAATTTCAAACAATGACAGCTTTGTCGAATAGATGAGCATTACCTACTTACAGAGTAAGTTTGTTGCTATGCAACGTTCCAAGAAATTCTAATGAAATTAGTAATCAAAATTGACGCTGACATTGGATGAACACAAAATGATAGAGTTTTCAATAAAAAAATTACACAAAATTGGTTTTATATCATTTGGAGAAAAAATTCTTTGTTTCGCACGGCAGCAAATGTAGATTGATTGCCGCGGCTGATAGTCCATAGCCAAGCATATAGCGAGGCTAGGAATTCAGCCAAGGCAGTCAATCTACCACTTTTTCTGCCTAGAAACAAATGACTATGATTCCACAGTTTGATTGAAAATCATCAGCAAATTGTCAATGAAATCACCAAAACTGGTTTTATGAGATCATGGGAATAGGTATACTTTCCTAAGCATATAGGTTAATAGTCAAAATTGAAGGATATCAAGATTTGCCGTTCTATGAATAAACGATATGAGTTCGACAAAAATGGAAGATTTTCATGAGCGAGCATCTATATACATAGGAAATAGTGCGCCTTGCCTAAAACATATATATATATATATATTTTCCCTGAAGCTCACGATTTTTTTTTAGTCCGGTCCTGTGGCAAAAAATTGTAGGCTATTATATATATATATTATATACTAACCTGGTATTGTCAATTTGATCAAAGGAGTTTCTCTGAGCTGTTGAGGTAGATTTGTCATCCAGTTCTCCAGATCTGTGCTTAGATCATCTTTTGTTTCACTCCTATTTTTTGTAGGTTCAATCCTAGATTGTTTTATCGTTGTCTTCATTTTAATTTGAAATAGGTATATTTTGGAACGTTTTAAAAATATGGATGAATGTGGATATTAAATTGTATATGGATATAGAGAGGTTTTACTTAATCATTATCAATATGAACTACATTCATTAGTGTTGAATTGGATAAATGAATACATATAGAAAACAAGATAATGATAGGCGCGCTCCATTGATTTTGTTCGAATATTAGTCATAGCGAAGAATAAGAATACATTACAGTCAAAGGCGAAATAGAACGACACATCACGACGTTTGTTTCACGGTCGCCAGGCAATGAAAAATTCCTTAGAAAATCAAGGTTGGTAGAACCTACGAACCTTGATAGAAAATAACACGTCGCCCCACCTGACGGCAATAACTTGAACACTTATTTTGGGCGGATTGTTTTGAGTTATAAACTTATAAGCATTTCAGATATGACCAATAACAGAGATTATATAATCTCTGCCAATAAGCACAAACAAAAAACAAATGTGAACCAATGAAACCAAAGTAAACGTGCCGTTTTGGCAGCTTTGAAGAACTCCGATATGTGGCGTACGCTTATTTTCTATCGCGAATACCTTTTTAGTGCCTTCTCTAGCATTGACTAAATAATGCTTCTATATATAGTTTTCTTTTTCAGCTATAACTGAACAGCATGATGCTCATGCTCATAACAAAGACTCAACAATCACCATTATCAGCACATTTTTCTGTAAATAAATATTGTTATCTGCTTCTCTCCAAAACAAATACAATATAATTTCGAAAGAATACAGTTTTCTATACTATAGATACCGTCATTTTTGGGCGCGAATTTCTCAGGTGATACTGCATATATCCACTCCACGTTTTTTTTGCCTTGAATGAGCATGAAAAAATATGTCCCGATGGTAAATATTAAAAATTATCTAAAAATCTTGATAAATCTATGGTGTGGTGATATCGATGACACTTCAAATAAATTCATAGGTGTTGAGGTAGGAGAGGTATATATGTATACTAATTCTCACACAATATGACTGGTATATAATAGCTATGTAGGTATGTATGTACATTATGTATACATACTTATAAGTAGAGGTAGTTCTCGTATAACTTTCGGATCTATCAATAAGTTTGGAGTTTTGAGTTGGTAGTTATATATATAGTTCGCAACTCCATTGAAATAGCGATCGATATCCAGGTAAGAATTTGAAAAAGTTATCTATATATATTCTCGATAAGACATAGATAGCGTTCAAGATATACTTGGTTATTATCGAGATTTATCATTAATAATGCAAACACAAAAGATATAGGTACTTTATATAATATCCTATATCAGATTTATACGGTGTTTTCAGAAATTACTGAGGCTCTTTCTTCAATAACAACCGAGAAACCTGTCAGTCTCATCCAAAATTGGATGCACTATATATATACTCATGAATGAAAACAAGGATCAAGAATTCGTGGAAGTTATATATTTATATACATAATAAGACATTTGTACACACTGAAATATTGATGCAATGTCAAAATAGTGCTACAGTAAGTAGGTGTATAATTTGATATAATAACATAATATTAACATATCTCCGACAGTAAAGTAATGGATTATTGTAGCAACTGTAATACAATTCAGTGGATATTTCCATATAATTATTATTAATTTCTTGTTAGACCTTGACAGATTCATGCTAGGAAGATTTTGATAATTTTGAAAACTGCTTCATTATATTTACTATAATAATATATATGGTCTCAATGATAAAAATCAAATTCGAAAAATAGTGGTGGAGTTGTATGATTTTATAGAACGTTTTTCTTCAATAATGGAGATTTTCCTGAATGAGAAATATTTGAAGATGATCAAAGTGGCCAAACTTCAAGGGTTGATTTTTCTAATGTTGCTAAGATGAAAATTATCATAATAAACACTTGAATTAGAAGAACATCAAAATTGGGCAAAGGATTTCAGGATATTTGCGAAAAAATTATATGCATTTCCGTACCTACCCATGTCTATATATATGAACTTTTTCTCTTGAAATTAACCCTCTGAAGTTTCGTCACATAGTTAAGTATGTATATACCTTCACATCATTGAATTACAGTAGCAATATGTTTGGAGCTAGGTGACCTTAAATTCCAACAACATTATCAGCTAAACGATCGACGGAAAACATTCCAGCAATTTGCATCAGTTCCATAAAACATATAGCATATAAAATAAATATATACCCTGCCCTGCAAAAAAAACGACACCAAATAAATCAACGAATGTTAATAATAAATCAATATACAGGCTGCTTTAAAATTCAAGATAAAGCTTTCAGGGGCTTATTTCCAGTTCAAAATAGGACCTTCCATTCCATAAACATGTGTTCCCAAAAGGTTTCAAGATTTCTCGAAAACTGGTCTTGACATGAGGAATAATAAGCTCTGAAATCTTAATACTGAATTTTGAAACTACCTGTATATCAAAAATCATTATTCACTCATTTATTTTCAATAATAGATTGATTATGATTGTATTGATTACCCCCAAGAAACATATTTTTTTAATAGGGTTATGGTTGTAAGAATGAGATACTTTTTTCAGTGTTCAATTTTCGATGCAGGGCAGTTCAGATACTACAAAATATATAGCAAAGAATATATTCCTCGTATTTGGATACTGTCAAAAAGTATTAAGCCGTCATCAATTTTTCTGGCCCATCTCTAACGATTTCCCTGCCCTTTGGTATCTCATTTTCCAAGCTGTCCTCCACAGTTTCAGTGTCTCTCGGCGTCGAAGAAGCCGTCCCTTCGGCGTCCTTTTCCGTGGACGTGTCGTCCGGTTGGACGTCCACGACGCGGAAGTGGAAGAACGACTCGCCGAATTCGTCAGATTTTTTGTACTCGGTATCGTTGATCACCACTTTGTGACCGTCGATGACCTAGAAATTCGACATACCTGTTTATGTTGATATTCAATCTAAGTGGCCCCAGAATTGTGCCTTGGGGCACACCAATTTTATGAACGTATCAGAGGTATCCCACGGGCAAGGTATATGTTCAGGTATTTCAACATTCGACTTCAAGACAAACAAAAATTCAGAAGAAATATCGAAATTCAGTGGATATGGATATACCTACTTGAGTCTTGAACGACAAGGTTATAAGTTTTGTACAAAGATAATCGCTGAATTATTTGGAATTTTCGTATTCGGTGTCGTTGATCACCACTTTGTGACCGTCGACGATGACCTAGGAATTCGACATACCTGTTAATGTTGATATATAATCTGAGTGCCCCCAGAATTGTACCTTGGGGCACACCAATTTTATGAACGTATCAGAGCAGGTATCCTACGGGCAAGGTATATGTTCGGGTATTTCAACATACGAGTTCAAAACAAACAAAATTTCAGAAGAAATATCGAAATGTGTACCTACTACATTAGATATACCTACTTGAGTCTGGTCGATGACCTGGAAATGTATGTCGATGTGAAACCGAAATAGCCCCAGAATTGTGCCTTGTGGCACAATTCTATATATGTTGAGAAGGTATCAGAAGTATCCTACGTGCAAGATATGTTCGAGTATTTCAACATACGAGTTTAAAACAAAAACATAAATTCAGAAGAAAGTTGAAAATGAAGTAGGTATACAGAGAAGTGCACAATAAACGGCCAGAGTGTTTGTACTCGGCACTTTTTTGTGGCAGTCGATAACCTGGAAATTCATTGCGAGATAGGTATTCATTGTTATACGAGTTAATATAAAATGAAAGTGGCCCCAGAATCGTGCCTTGTGGTACACCGTTTTTTAAAAATAACAGAGCTAAATATCCCGAGTGCAAGCTATGTTCAGGTATTCCAACCTACAAGTTGAGAACAAATATAAATTCGAAAGAATTTTCAGACTGAAAAGGGTATGATATAAAAACTATACGGTGCTTTTGTGAAGTATATATAGGTACAGAATGATTTGATTTTATTCATTTCTGAGGAATCTTCTAAAACAGAGGTCGATTTTAATTCTCGATTCGCCACATTTATAAGGAAAAATTGAACAGGGTTGGGGTTGGGTTAGGTTACCTGCTATTAGAAAACAAGTAGTTGGTAATAATAATATGTATTTGCTATTAACCCTTTCAAGTTAATTATTGTGCCTTTTTTCCGAAAATGAAGGTTCATCGAACCTTTCCACAGGTAATTCGAATCCTTTTGGTTTGGAAAGTAGGATGTATAAAAGTAACGACCGAGTCAATTAAAAAAGAGCTCCTGTTGATGTCAGAATTCGTTTGTTTCCCTTACTTTAGTGACTGATGTGGTGTTTCCTTTCCCAAGGTCGAGGTTGTCAGCACCAGGCAGGTGTGGAACTGGAAATGAATTTCCACCGACTGGAAATTCGTCCGAGAAATTGCCGGTTCTGATGCCCGGAAAATGTTTTTAGCAGGGACTCCATTTGGGCCCTTAACCTAGTCATCACACCTAAAAAAAAATTTCTTTTCAGAAGATAGGTTGGTATGAATCCAGGTTAGCTTTTATAAAATTTCCTTCTGCATGCGGTCTCTTTCTCTTCTTGTTATTCTCAAATGGGTACTATATGTATATCTAGCGGGTGAACTTCTGCATACGTAATAGATATTTACGTAATCAGTTAGGAAACGCGTTGTTTTGTGTAACGATGGGGATTTTGCGGGATGAGCGAAGTGAGATCCCGCAACATCACAGAGTTACACAAAAATGGCGGTTTCCTAACGTGGTCACGTACAATATTTTTTCTAATTTTGACGAAACATTTCGCATGAACAAAAATAATGACCAGTTTTACATGAGTTCTGCCGACTCTTCACAAAAATGAAATGAACATATACATCACCAGTTATGTAAAATTTTACTTTACGCAACTGGTTACGTAAAGTAAAGACGTTTCAAAACTTCCGTCAGTTTTGAAAAGTGTCACATTACATGTCAAAATTAGAAAAACGGATTTTGTGAAATTTAGTTCAGTTATATTCTATAACCAACCATTTTTGATTTGATCACTTCACAATCTAAAATGGCGGAATACCCTGTATATTTATACATATCCAATTTCAACAGGTCAAAACAAAAGTGCCAATCTTCATCTCGAATGTTAATTTTTTTCGAAAAAACTGAAATGAAAATTGTTTTTCTTTTCTACCTCGTGGATAAAAATGAGATATGGTCAAGGCTATTCACAATGAATATAATGAGTCGCACATATCAGAGAAACATAATTTATTCACAATTAGTTGACAATTAGATTCATAAATATTGTTTTCCACAAATACTTAAAATTATTCGAACTGCAATAAGGAAATTCGTGAGCTATAGTACCTACTTATTATAGTTGTTGATTTTTGAATGTATACAGCAGAGAATTATTCGAGATAGGTCTTTGAAAATTGGTGGGCAGCTATAGTATACCAAATTGCTCATTAATTGACGAAGCAATTTTCGTTTTATCACCTCCGGTTTTACTGGAAACGACCACAACTTTTGAATTTTAAAATAGAGAGTATTATTGTATTCCATAATCTCGGTTAGGGATCGTATAAAGAATTCATCGATACCGGGTTTGATAGGGTTATTCCAAACGATTACGCAGATATTTCTGTTCTAAATTTCGATATGCTCAATGAGTGTGACAGAGAAAGAAGTTTTGATATTGCAAAGTCACACACATTGAGCACATGGAAACCTCGAACGCAAATATCTTTGTAATCGTTTGATATAACCCTATCAAACCCGGTATCATTAAATTCGTCATGATAATCCCTTACCGATTATGGAATACATTTGAAAATAAAAAGTTGAACCTTCTTCCTAGAAAGTATATTTTTTAGAAAATTACTTGAGAGAACATCAGAAGATACTACTGCTTCTAAACAACTCAAGCTGACTTCCGTCATTGCAGAGGGAATGCCTGAAACTATAAGGCAAACGGTGTACAAAATTTAGAGTTACCTTGTTTGCCGGCAACCTGAAATGACTAGGCATTCCAGAGAATGACAGATTTCACTGTTTGACGCCGACATATATAATTTGTTACTGCCATTGTCTGCTAAAATATGGAGAAAAAATCTAGTGACCTCCAGCTCACTAGATTTTTTCTCCATATTTAGTAGACAATGGTTACTGCACCGAATCACAAATAGTACACTTCTGTTAGGTTCAAATAATAATGTGACACTTTGTTTGACAAGCGATATTTGCGTTTGCGAGGCGGAGCAATAAAATATAAGTGAAAATACCACTATTTTTGAGTCACTTGGAACATGTCAGTGACAATGAAGCAGCTATCATATCAGCTGTCATCAAATGCAAAAATTGCAAAAATTCCGGAAAATTGTAAAAATTCCTAAATTCCTGAAAATTGCAGAAATTCCAGAAATAGCGAAAATTGCAAAAATTCCTGAAAATTTGAAAATTTTCTGAAAATTGCAAAAATCGCAAAAATTCCTGAAAACTGTAAAAATTGCAGAAATCGCAAAAAGACCTGAAAATTGCAAAAATCGCAAAAATGCCTGAAAATTGCAAGAATTGCAAAAATTTCTGAAGATTGCCATAATTCTTCAAATTTTTGCAATTTTTGCAATTTTTGCAATTTTTGCAATTTTTGCAATTTCTGCAATTTTCAGACATTTTTGCGATTTTTGCAATTTTCAGAAATTTCTGCGATTTTCAGGAATTTTCGCGATTCTTGCAATTTTCATAATCTTCAGAGAATTTTCGCAATTTTCAGAAATTTTTCTAATTTTCAGGAATTTTTGCAATTTTTCAGGAATATTTGCAATTTCTGCAATTTTCAGGCATTTTTGCGATTTTTGCAATTTTCAGGAATTTTTGCAATTTTTAGTAATTTTTGCTATCTCTGCAATTTTCAGGCACTTTGCGATTTTTGCAATTTTCAGCAATTTTCGCAAATTTTCAGGAATTTTTGCAATTTTTGCAATTTTCAGGCATTTTTGCAATTTTCAAAAATCGCAAAAATGCCTGAAGATTGCAAAAATTCCTAAAAATTGCAAAAATTTGCAAAAATTTCTGAAAATTGCAGAAATTGCAAAAATTTCTGAAAATTGCAGAAATTGCAAAAATTGCAAAAATTCTTGAAAATTGCAAAAATAGCAGAAATTCCTGAAAATTGCAAAAATTCCTGAAAATTGCAAAAATTGCAGAAATTGCAAAAATTCCCGAAAATTGGAAAATTCCTGAAAAATGCAAAAATTTGCGAAAATTCCGGAAAATTGTAAAAATTACTAAATTCCTGAAAATTGCAGAAATAGCGAAAATTGCAGAAATTCCTGAAAAGTGTAGAAATTGCAGAAATAGCAAAAATTACAAAAATTCCGGAAAATTAAAAAAATTTCTCAAAATTGCAAAAATTCCTGAAAATTGCAAAAATCCCTGAAAATTTCAAAAATTCCTGAAAATTGCAGAAATTGCAAAAATTCCAGAAAAATGCAAAAATTCCGGAAAATTGTAAAAATTTCAACAATTTCTGAAAATTGGAAAAATTCCTGAAAAATGCAAGAATTGCAAATATTCCGAAAAATTGTTAAAATTCCTAAATTTCCAAAAATTGCAAAAATCGCTGAAATTTCTGAAAATTGCAAAAATTCCTGGAAACTGTAAAAATTGCAAAAATCGCGAAGACCTGAAAATTGCAAAAATTTCTGAAAATTGCCATAATTCTTTCAATTTTTGCAATTTTTGCAATTTTCTGGAATTTTTGCAATTTTCAGAAATTTTTTGCGATTTTCAGGAATTTTCGCGATTTTTGCAATTTTTATAATCTTCAGGAATTTTTGCGATTTTTGCAATTTTTAGAAATTTTTCTAATGTTCAGGAATTTTTGCGATTTTTTCAATTTTCACAATCTTCAGGAATTTTTGCGATTTTTGCAATTTTCAGGGATTTTTGCAATTTTCAGAAATTTTTCTAATTTTCAGGAATTTTTGCAATTGCCAGGAATATTTGCAATTTCTGCAATTTCTGCAATTTTCAGGCATTTTTGCGATTCTTGCAATTTTCAGACATTTTCGCGATTTTTCGCAATTTTCAGGAATTTTTAGAATTTTTACAATTTTCCGGAATTTTTGCAATTTTTTCAATTTTCAGGAATTATGCAATTTTCAGGAATTTTTGCGATTTCTGCAATTTTCAGGAATTTTTGCAATTTTCAGTCATTTTGCAATTTTCAGAAATTTTTCTAATTTTCAGGAATTTTTGCAATTTCCAGGAATATTTGCAATTTCTGCAATTTTCACGCATTTTTGCGATTCTTGCAATTTTCAGGCATTTTCGCGATTTTTTGCAATTTTCAGGAATTTTTAGAAATTTTTACAATTTTCCGGAATTTTTGCAATTTTTGCAATTTTCAGGAATTTTTTGCGATTTTAGCAATTTCAGGAATTTTTGCTATTTCTGCAATTTTCAGGCATTTTTGCGATATTTGCAATTTTCAGGAATTTTCGCAATTTTCAGGACTTTCTGGAATTTTCAGTCATTTTTGCAATTTTCAGGAATTTTTGCAATTTTTGCTATTTTTGCAATTTTCAGGAATTTTTGCAATTTATGCAATTTCTGCACTTTTCAGAAATTTCTGCAATATTTGCAATTTTTAGGAATTTTTGCAATTTTCGCAATCTTCAGGCATTTTTGCGATTTTTGCAATTTTCAGGAATTTTTGCAATTTCGCAGACCTGAAAATTGAAAAAAAATCGCAAAAATGCCTGAAAATTACAAGAATTGCAAAAATTTCTAAAAATTGCCATAATTCTTTCAATTTTTGCAATTTTTGCAATTTTCAGGAAGTTTTGCAATTTTCAGGCACTTTTGCGATTTTTGCAATTTTCAGAAATTTCTGCGATTTTCAGGAATTTTCACGATTTTTGCAATTTTTATAATCTTTTTATAATACCACTATTTTGAGTACCTTGGAATATGTCAGTGACAATGAAGCAGCTATCATATCAGCTGTCATCAAATGCAAAAATTGCAAAAATTCCGGAAAATTGTAAAAATTCCTAAATTCCTGAAAATTGCAGAAATTCCAGAAATAGCGAAAATTGCAAAAATTCCTGAAAATTTGAAAATTTTCTGAAAATTGCAAAAATCGCAAAAATTCCTGAAAACTGTAAAAATTGCAGAAATCGCAAAAAGACCTGAAAATTGCAAAAATCGCAAAAATGCCTGAAAATTGCAAGAATTGCAAAAATTTCTGAAGATTGCCATAATTCTTCAAATTTTTGCAATTTTTGCAATTTTTGCAATTTTTGCAATTTTTGCAATTTTTGCAATTTTTGCAATTTCTGCAATTTTTGCAATTTTCAGACATTTTTGCGATTTTTGCAATTTTCAGAAATTTCTGCGATTTTCAGGAATTTCGCGATTCTTGCAATTTTCATAATCTTCAGGAATTTTCGCAATTTCAGAAATTTTTCTAATTTTCAGGAATTCTTGCAATTTTCAGGAATATTGCAATTTCTGCAATTTTCAGGCATTTTTGCGATTTTTGCAATTTTCAGGAATTTTTGCAATTTTTAGTAATTTTTGCTATCTCTGCAATTTTCAGGCACTTTTGCGATTTTTGCAATTTTCAGCAATTTTCGCAATTTTCAGGAATTTTTGCAATTTTCAGGCATTTTTGCAATTTTCAAAAATCGCAAAAATGCCTGAAGATTGCAAAATTCCTAAAAAATTGCAAAAAAATGCAAAAAATTTCTGAAAATTGCAGAAATTGCAAAAAATTTCTGAAAATTGCAGAAATTGCAAAAATTGCAAAAATTCTTGAAAATTGCAAAAATAGCAGAAATTCCTGAAAATTGCACAAATTCCTGAAAATTGCAAAAATTGCAGAAATTGCAAAAATTCCCGAAAATTGAGGAAAATTCCTGAAAAATGCAAAAAATTTGCGAAAATTCCGGAAAATTGTAAAAATTACTAAATTCCTGAAAATTGCAGAAATAGCGAAAAATTGCAGAAATTCCTGAAAAGTGTAAAAAATTGTGAAAAGTGTAAAAATTGCAGAAATAGCAATAATTACAAAAATTCCGGAAAATTAAAAAAATTTCTCAAAATTGCAAAAATTGCAAAAATTCCTGAAAATTGCAAAAATCGCAAAAATGACTGAAAATTGCAAAAATTCCTGAAAATTGCAAAAATCCCTGAAAATTTCAAAAATTCCTGAAAATTGCAGAAATTGCAAAAATTCCAGAAAAATGCAAAAATTCCGGAAATTGTAAAAATTTCAACAATTTCTGAAACTTGGAAAAAATTCCTGAAAAATGCAAGAATTGCAAATATTCCGAAAAATTGTTAAAATCCTAAATTTCCAAAAATTGCAAAATCGCTGAAATTTCTGAAAATTGCAAAAATTCCTGGAAACTGTAAAAATTGCAAAAATCGCGAAGACCTGAAAATTGCAAAAATTTCTGAAAATTTGCAATAATTCTTTCAATTTTTGCAATTTTTGCAATTTTCAGGAATGTTTGCAATTTTCAGGCATTTTTGCGATTTTTGCAATTTTCAGAAATTTTTTGCGATTTTCAGGAATTTTCGCGATTTTTGCAATTTTTATAATCTTCAGGAATTTTTGCGATTTTTGCAATTTTTAGAAATTTTTCTAATGTTCAGGAATTTTTGCGATTTTTTCAATTTTCACAATCTTCAGGAATTTTTGCGATTTTGCAATTTCAGGGATTTTTGCAATTTTCAGAAATTTTTCTAATTTTCAGGAATTTTTGCAATTGCCAGGAATATTTGCAATTCCTGCAATTTCTGCAATTTTCAGGCATTTTTGCGATTCTTGCAATTTTCAGACATTTTCGCGATTTTCACAATTTTCAGGAATTTTTAGAAATTTTTACAATTTTCCGGAATTTTTGCAATTTTTGCAATTTCCAGGAATTATGCAATTTTCAGGAATTTTTGCGATTTCTGCAATTGTCAGGAATTTTTGCAATTTTCAGTCATTTTTGCAATTTTCAGAAATTTTTCTAATTTTCAGGAATTTTTGCAATTTCCAGGAATATTTGCAATTTCTGCAATTTTCACGCATTTTATGGCGATTCTTGCAATTTTCAGGCATTTTCGCGATTTTTGCAATTTTCAGGAATTTTTAGAAATTTTTACAATTTTCCGGAATTTTTGCAATTTTTGCAATTTTCAGGAATTTTTGCGATTTTAGCAATTTTCAGGAATTCTTGCTATTTCTGCAATTTTCAGGCATTTTTTGCGATATTTGCAATTTTCAGGAATTTTCGCAATTTTCAGGACTTTCTGGAATTTTCAGTCATTTTTGCAATTTTCAGGAATTTTTGCAATTTTTGCTATTTTTGCAATTTTCAGGATTTTTGCAATTTATCGCAGATTTCTGCACTTTTCAGAAATTTCTGCAATATTTGCAATTTTTAGGAATTTTTGCAATTTTTCGCATCTTCAGGCATTTTTGCGATTTTTGCAATTTTCAGGAATTTTTGCAATTTCGCAGACCTGAAAATTGAAAAAATCGCAAAAATGCCTGAAAATTACAAGAATTTCAAAAATTTCTAAAAATTGCCATAATTCTTTCAATTTTTGCAATTTTTGCAATTTTCAGGAAGTTTTGCAATTTTCAGGCACTTTTGCGATTTTTGCAATTTTCAGAAATTTCTGCGATTTTCAGGATTTTCGCGATTTTTGCAATTTTTATAATCTTCAGGAATTTTTGCAATTTTCAGGAATTTTGGCAATTTTCAGAAATTTTTCTAATTTTCAGGAATATTCGCAATTTCTGCAATTTTCAGGCATTTTTGCAATTTTCAGGAATTTTTAGAAATTTTCACAATTTTCCGAATTTAGCAATTTTCGGGAATTTTTGGCAATTTTCAGGAATTTTTGCGATTTTTGCAATTTTTAGGAATTTTCGCAATTTTTGCAATTTTCTGTGAAAAATTCCTAAAAATTGCAAAAAATTGCAAAAAATTCTCAGAAAATTGCAGAAATTGCAAAAATTGCAAAAATTCCTGAAAATTGCAAAAATAGCAAAAATTGCAAAAATTCCTGAAAATTGCAAAAATTCATAAGAGCTGCAAAAATTGCAGAAATTGCGAAAATTCCTGAAAATTGGAAAATTCTTGAAAATGCAAAAATTGCAAAAATTCCGGAAAATTGTAAAAATTCCTAAATTCTTAAAATTGCAAAAATTCCTGGAAATTGCAGAAATCACAAAAATTCCTGAAAATTGTGAAAATTGCAAAAATCGCGAAAATTCCTGAAAATCGCAAAAAATATCTGAAAATTGCAAAAATCGCAAAAATGCCTGAAAATTGCAAAAATTCCTGAAAATTGCAAAAATTGCAAAAATTCCTGAAAAATTAAAAAATTCCGGAAAATTGTAAAAATTTCAAAAATTCCTGAAAATTGGAAAAATTCCTGAAAAATGCAAAAATTGCAAATATTCCGGAAAATTGTAAAAATTCCTAAATTTCTGAAAATTGCGAAAATCGCTAAAATGCCTGAAAATTGCAAAAATTGCAAAAATTCCTGAAAATTGCAAAAATTGCAAAAATTCCTGAAAATTGCAAAAATCGGCCAAAAATGCCTGAAAATTGCAAAAATTCCTGAAAATTGCAAAAATTGCAAAAATTCCTGAAAAAATTAAAAAATTCCGGGAAAATTGTAAAAATTTCAAAAATTCCTGAAAATTGCAAAAATTCCTGAAAATGCAAAAATTGCAAATATTCCGGAAAATTGTAAAAATTCCTAAATTTCTGAAAATCGCGAAAATCGCTAAAATGCCTGAACATTGCAAAAATTGCAAAAATTCCTGAAAATTGCAAAAATTGCAAAAATTCCTGAAAATTGCAGAAATAGCGAAAATTGCAAATATTCCTGAAAATTTAAAAATTTCTGAAAATTGCAAAAATCTCAAAAATTCCTGGAAACTTAAAATTGCAAAAACCGCCAAAAAAGACCTGAAAATTGCAAGAATTGCAAAAATGCCTGAAAATTGCAAGAATGCAAAAATTTCTGAAAATTGCCATTATTCTTTCAATTTTTGCAATTTTTGGCAATTTTTGCAATTATTGCAATTCCTGCAATTTTTGCAATTTCAGGAATTTTCGCAATTTTCAGGCATTTTTGAAATTTTCAGGCATTTTTCAATTCATGAATATTTTAATGTGATATCTTGTATTATATGTATAATCTATTTTCCATGTATAAAATATTATGTTTCTGAAATGTTTGAGGCTCACCTTCTAGATTTTCAAAAAGGCCGCCGAAAGGATTCGAAAACGATGGACCGTCGAAAGCTCCAGTATCAATGATCGGTTGGTCTCCGAAATTATAATTGGGATCAACAAATTCCACACTGTCATCTATTCGTTTAGAAGTAGCTGAAAAAAAAAAATCATGATCCTTAGTTGGGTAAATTTATTTATTTATTTATTTATTTAATAAACGGATTCACCATTACAATAGTTAATTATTACAGATTGACAAGATGGCATAAGAACAATAATATAGCATTGATATTGATTGAAATTTCAAATTTGAACTATATGGTTTGGTTTGAAGGATACAAAACAAAATTCCTGTATTAACCAACCTTTAGAAATTAACACTAAAGTATAGATTAATTGTGGATCGAGCCAGGATCAACTATACAAATTTTATTTTTAAAATCAGTTAAGGAATGGACAAATGGATCAATGTTTAATATGTTGAAATTACGCAAAATACGTGATAATGGGCTGAAGAACCCATAATTAGTTCTATGAGTTTTTATAGTAAAAAGATCAGTGTTTCTAGTGAAATATGATGGAACATTGAAGTTTATCATATTGAGAAGATCGCAACAATCAATCACATCTGAGATAATCTTGAACATGGTGATACTATCGAGCCGAAAGCGTCTGATAGATAGGTTGGTTAAGTTGAGGGCATTGAGAGTATCTGTATAATTGAAATTGTTGTAAGTTCCCATTTTATAAGAAATGTGCTTGGCAAATCTCATTTGGACTTGTTCAATTAGTGTGATATCACAGTTATAATGTGGCGACCAGATTATGCAACCATAGTCTAATAAGGAACGTACAAGAGAGCAGTATAAAGTATTAACTGTGTTACAAGAAAAATGTTTTGTATTACGCATTAGAAAACCTACCATTTTATTAGCAGATGCTGATACTTTCAGTAGTTGACTCTTGAAGGTGAGACGCTCATCAAAGATGATTCCAAGATCTTTAATTTCAGTTACTTTTTCAAGGATCGTATTGTTAATATTGTAGTTATATGAGGAAGCATTAAATGAGCGGGAGAACGATATTGTAAAACATTTATCAGTATTTAAAGCAAGACTGTTTTGAACGCACCATAAATGAAGGTTATCAAGGTCGTTTTGAAGAGTTTGACTGTCTAGGATATCATCAACAACGAGAAACAACTTCAAGTCATCAGCAAATAATAAAAAGTTTGCACTTTTGATTACATCAGAGATATCATTTATGAATAAATTGAAGAGTAAAGGTCCACAGTGAGAGCCCTGAGGGACACCCGAAGTAACCATAATTTCGTTAGATATATAATTGTTGATTTTAACTCTTTGAGAGCGGCCAGTGAGGAAGCTGCGCAGCCATTTCACAATATTATCCGCAAAGCCAAGGGAGTGAAGTTTCTCTAAAAGTATCTTGTGGTCCACTCTATCAAATGCCTTGGAGAAGTCTGTGTAAATTGCGTCAACTTGCTCACCCCTCTCCAAGGCATGTAACAGAAATGTCTGATAAGACAGCAAGTTGGTTACCGTTGATCTTCCTGAACAAAAACCATGTTGCTGAGGTATTATAATATTCTTGCAGGACCATGTTAATTTGGCAGTGACGAGTTTATCTAATAGTTTTGGCAAAGTAGACTGTATACAAATACCTCGGTAATTTTTGATGGATTCACGATCCCCTGACTTAAAAATTGGGGTGACAAAACTGTTTTTCCAGAAATCTGGAAAATTACAAGAATCCAGAGATAAGTTAAATAAATATAGAATGGGATTAGCTAATGTACAATTACATATTTTTAATAGTACTGGAGGGATACCATCAGGGCCACTGGAATACTTATTCTTCAAACTCTGAATACCCTCAAAAACCTCAATTAAGCTTAAATGGAGAGTATTGATGTCAACTAGATTTTTGTTTTGAAATGTAGGCACATTACTATCCTTATCAGAATAGACAGTTGAGAAATATTCAGCAAAAAGATTTATGATATCAGAGCCATTTGTACAAGTAGTATTATTGAGATGCATATATAGTGTTTGGGTAAGAACTAGATTTACGTAAATTATTCATATACTTCCAAAAACTGTTAGAGTCATTTTGAATATTCCTTTCTGTATAACTCAGATAACTGAGGTAACATTGTTCATTTAATGTTTTACATTGTGCACGAAGTGTACAGAATTCTTGATAATAATCAAATGAGTTTCTATCTTTATATTTCTTATGAGCAATCTTTTTCTTGAATATAAGATTTTTTAGTTCAGGTGTAAACCACACTGGGAAGTTTGATGATTTGAATGTTTTTATAGGTACATATAAGTCGATTGCATTGTAAATTATGTCATAAAATATGTGAACTGCTGTATTTAATGTCCCTAGTATTATATAGGGCACTCCAATCTGCCATTGCTAAATAATCGTTTATACCAATTGCATTACAAGTCTTAAAATCATGATAGAAATTATCATATTTTAGGTAAGTGTCCTCGATAACAAGTGTCAGCATGAAGCAGTATGCATTATGGTGGTAACTCAGATTAGTTAGAACATCATCTGCTTTGGCTATTGCAAGAGTGGGTATATGTGAAAAAATGAGATCAAGGAATACATAATTATTGTTAGGGATACTATTAACCTGTGTTAAACCTAAGGCACTATAAGAGTCAGAAAGATATTTTCCAGGGGATGAATCTGGGCAAATTAGTTCAAGTCCACTGTCACCTCTTAACCAAGTTGCATCAGGAATGTTATAGTCTCCAAATATAACCAATTCAAAATCAGGATGTGCAAATTGATCAGCAAGTTATGAAACATCTTTTTTCGACAACCGTCCGGGAACTGCTCTCTTCCCGGACGCTTTTTTTTTCGAGAAAGTAGCATTTTTCCGACCTAGTCTGGAAAGTACGTATACTTCCCGGACTAGGCCAGGAAGTATTACATAGTTGTTATCACTGTAACTATGAGAATTTTGGTAGATATATGGTTTTGATAAATGCAAATGATATTATTACCATAGCAGTGAAATATCGGCTGACAGCTATTGGACATGAAATTAGTTGACATTTTGATTTTTGAAAGTTTGGTTGCAATTATCGCAATAAACTATCGAAAGCAGCTGCGATAGTGAGTTTGAAAATGTCATTACAAAATTTCCAATGTAACAGTTAGTTACAGAAGAAATTGTACTCTACAGAGAAATATAATATGGAAATGTGTGTGATTTGTTATTCTACATGGTTGCCGAAAAAATAGTGTATGCAGCACGTCCAAAAACAGTTTTTTTGGACTCGCAGACTTCCAGGACTCGCCTACGATTTGGCCTAGAATTTTGTCTACTCGTCCAAAAAAACAGCATTTTCTGGACTTGTTACGTAAATTATACAAATGAAACCAAGTAAAATTTTCAAAAAATGAGCTACAGATTAAACCTCAAAGTATTAGAAAAGTATTGAAAAAGTTGCACAAATACGGACATTCAACAAAAATATTAAAAAAATACACATATATAAGATAAATATGTTCAAATATATTTATAAATATACACATAAGAGTAATATAGCTTCAAAAAATTCTTTGTGCATTATTATAATATTGATTATCACTATACAAAATGCTCAAATATCATGTAACAGTACAAACTATTTTATAACAAGAAAAAAATTGTTGAAAAGTTCCATTTGACCCTATTTTCGACAAAGGAAAATTTGTGTTGTACCTAATATTGACACATACGAGTACGTAATACTGACATTTGGTAAAATTGTTTTGAAGTACTTACTTAACTAAGTAAAATGCAATTCACATAATTAAATAATAATGCACTAAAAATACAAACTAAAGATCTCAGTGACGTAGCTTCAACATATTTAGTTGTAGTATATGTAGTTCGTTGGTATCTTTGTACAAACCAAATGGCCAGCGACCTCACGAGGGGTCCTTTAGCCCATGTGTGTTCTGTGTAGGCTTTGTTACTCACTCCATACGCTACCTTAGGAGCAGCACTGTTGAGTGGAACGCAACAGCGGCTCGTGTGGAGTAATCTCCAGAACAAAATATTTATTAAAATAGAACAAAATAAACAAAACAGTCGAATATTATAGGCATGAACCACTGAATCAGGAATCTCTGCAAACAGAGTAAAGTCCGCAATAATTTTTTTTGTTTCGTCTATTTCTCAAGAATCTTGCCTACACTATACCAAAGAATGTTATCCCTTCATATTCTGATGCTCTTTTATTTATTCACGAGTCAAAACAAAAATTGACAGTTGAAGTTGCCTCAGTGAATTGATTGTCAGCTGTCGTAGTACAACTGATGAAGCTTGGCAAGTCCCGAAACAGTTCACGAAATTCGCCTAGAACCTTATTTGGTCTTTAGATTCTAGATTTTTCATTTATTATAATATACCTGTTTCTAAACAATGATTATTCATGAGTCATTGTTTTCGAAGTCGTGATGATTATATTGGAGGTCTCCATTATAATAATATTCACATGTAAATATCTGATAATATTTAATTATTGCTCATATTGTGAACGATTTTATCAGTTCTCTGAAACTTGATTCAATTAGGTGAATAAGTACCTGCAACGCGATATAGTACTTATAGCCATGCTGGAGATATATATGTATATACCGGGTGACACAGGTTATCGGGCCACCCCTGTAACTTCTGCATTCGTCAACGGATTTTTCTGAAATTCGGTACAGTTATATAAGCAACTATTTCGGATTTGATCACATTACAATCCAATATGGCGGACTTCCGGTTTTTCTGGAAATGCCAGCAATTTTGTTTTTTCAAATGGAACACCCTGTATATTTTTATATAAGTGCAATCTTGATGTCAAATGTCATTTATTCCACAGCCTACCTAGTTGAAAAATTAATCTAACTGCAAGGAAATTCACAAACTAGTTGTTGATTTTTGAATGTATACAATTTGTTACTGCACAGAAAAACAAAAATGATATGTCATTCTTTTCCTTAATGTATGTTCTAGAGAGACGGGTAGGTGGCCCATAGGGGTTCCATTTGAAAAAAAATTATTTTTGATCAAAAAGTGATGTGGCTGAATTGTTCCCTGGATAAGTGACACAAAAAATAATTTTTCAGAAAAA